TATGTGATGAATAAGTCCGACATCTTTATATTCTGTTTATAAATAGATAGCGAGTTAGCGTTTTTTTTTTAATTTTGTAGAAAAAAGATCAGCCCTTGAGGACTTAAAACTACGCCGGTGGTGTCAGCAAGCTCTGACCCATCGTAAGGGCTCTGCCAAAATCGACAAAGCACATTTACCAAGTAATAATTGTATATGCTTATGATACTTCGTTGGAAATGTAGAGATTCGATTGTCATATAGCATCCTTCATGTGACGCAAGAAAAGAACGTATCACATGATTGCTTAACAACTTGATGAACAACAGTGGGCCATTTGCTTCAATAGTGTTGAAGTTGATCCATCATCGAGTGAGTGAACGGCTTTAAAGCCATTGGGTTCCACAAAAATCTTCAAATTTCGGTCCACGGTGAAGTGGATCAGCCTGAGTCCCTTAGCGGACGTTTCGTCGTGGATGCTGAATTTTTCGAAAGTGGGATCAAAGATGCCCCTCGAACGTGAAAGAGGCCTTTGATTGCCTCGTCATTCGATCCATTGGAGTGTGGGCGCAAATAAACAAAACGTTGAAACGTATCAATTTTCTGGGGATTGTGGTGGAAAATACAATACCCGGCAAGGGAGTGTCTTTTTTCCATCATAAGTCCGACACAGAATTTAAATTTGTTTGCATGGCAGTTGTAGTAGACGTCGAAAGGTCCCAATACGAAAACCGATCAACACAGCAAGTGTAATATAAGCAACCTAAAGGCGTTATTAATTCAGTACTCGTCCAGTAATATTCAACTCTGTGGAACGCAAAATACATCATGTCTAAGAGAGTGTAAATCAAAAACCACTTACTTCAAAATGCTACTATGTACGTTAACTAATTCCTAAAAGGTGTATCTTTCGAAACGCTTACGCTTCCGTCAGATCCTTGCTGTCTATCGAGTGTAATGCAAATGTGTTCTTTAAACAAAATTAGAAGTGGTAGAAAACCATCAAAATGTCATATATGAAGAGGTAAGCATGAATTTATAGAAAGCGTTTTTTTTTTATTTACAAAATATAACAGCTATAAAATATTAGTTAAAACATTAGTGACTCTATTGGTAACAAGTAACAATAAAAAACAATCGTGCATTCTATATTATTTAAGTATTTTTTAAGTCCGTTGCCATATGGCAACACGGGGCGTAATGTGAACTGTTCCTCTTTTTACCAAATTTTGATATATTCGCTAGCCCAAATTGACCCCGTGTTGCCATATGGCAACGCAAAATACCATTATGTATGAGACGGTGTAAAACAAGAATCGTTTGTATGTATTTTTGCAGGTGTGCAGGTGGTTAACTCATTCCATCTAGCTCTGAGGGTCAATTCCCGTTCTGCGTTATCGTGAAGTGAAGTGAAAAGTATAAAATTAACACCGAAATAAATGCGGTGTAAAGATGTTATTTTTATCACTTCACGATAACGCAGAACGGGAATTGACCTTCTGAACTATCTAATCATATTATCGTATATTTCATTGTACAAGTGTTGAAGTGGTATGCAAATGCTGTTTGTCCATTCCAGGGAAGACTGGTGGCGTTTTTTGCATTCTCATCTGCTATTTCATTACCCGTGTGACCGGGCACCCAATATATATTTGCAGGCTTCTGTCAGCGTCTACCTTGTCAATGCCTTCCCGGCTGGGAAGGACGTTTATGGATGAAATAATATATGAGGAAACTGCCTTAATTGCCGCCTGGAATAGGTTTAATTTAGAATTGATTGTCGGTTCGGTGAAGGCTAGCTCTGCAGTTATCCTCATTGCGAAAACCTCTGCTTGAAATATGCTGCAATGGTCAGGTAGCCTTATTATCTGCCTGACGTTCAGTTCCCGGCTGTAAATCCCGGCACCCACTCCCTTAAACATTNATTGATTGTCGGTTCGGTGAAAGATAGCTCTGCAGTTATCCTCATTGCGAAAACCTCTGCTTGAAATATGCTGCAATGGTCAGGTAGCCTTATTATCTGCCTGACGTTCAGTTCCCGGCTGTAAATCCCGGCACCCACTCCCTTAAACATTTTAGAGCTGTCCGTGGAAATGTTTAGGGATCTATGACTAGGATTCGTTCCCTTGCGCCATCCGTTCTCCTCAACCGTTGTGCAAAAAGTTCGTTTCCACTTAAAGCTAGGTGCCATGAAGTCTGTGCTGCTTGTGCTTCCCGTCCCAATTAAGCGGTGCCCAAGGGTTCTGAAATTTAATTTCCCTACGACCGTCAATCTACGTGGGGATTTCGCAACATGGTTTTTTAAAGAGCAGCCGTCGAAGTGGACCTCAGCGCTCCAGCGATGCACAGTGCCGCTAGGCGCTGAACCTTCCCCATTGGCCCGAGGCATAAGGAATTTTTTGCGGCATAAGGACTATTGATGTGTAGCACCAATGCATCAGAGCAGGTGACTGACCCCAAGTGACACCCAGCATTCTTTTACATGCATAAAGGGCGTTACTAGCCTTCTTTTCTCTTTCTTCAACATTGCGCATCCACAGCTGCTTACTATCCAAGACTACTCCCAAATACTTTGCGTGGTCTTTAATTGACAGCTCGATGCTAAATACCTAGCCTCGGGGTCTCCACACTGGGACTACACCACTGGCCCATACAAATTGACCAAAAAACTTCGTTGTGCTGGTGAAGCATGTAAAACTATAGGACGAGTAGCCTGTGCAAAATGTGATGTGGGATATGTTTTAAATGCTACGCTACCTTTCATTAACTTCTTCCCCCGCTTTGCACGTAGAATATGCATATATTACCAATAAATGTATTAAGACTTATACACAATATTTCTATTATTTCATATTTTAACCAAATACTGTCGTCTAACAATCCATCTGGAATACGCCCCATGTTGCCAAATGGCAACGGCCGATATCGGAAGAACTATACTACTCCCAAAGTTTTAGTCATATTTTTCCTTTACTTTAACGGTACTTTTACCCTGTATATAGGTAAAAAAATAATCTAAAAAAAATTAATCTGGGAAAATTTGGGTTAATCCATGGATAAATAGAGAATCAAGGATATTATTTTTTTAACTTACTGACATGTACCGAATCTCATTTATAGCACATTTTTTAATACCTAGATCAGTTCTTAAAGTCACAGGAGCTCAAACCACGCCACTTGCAGACTTGATAGGCCACAATTTCGTTCTGCATGCTATGGAAGGTCAAATTTATGCAGCCTCCTCTATAGACCTGACATTGTTTAAAACACATGAATGTCGCTATGGGTGCCAATTTTCATAATAATTTCACCGACCTATTTAAGATTGGAGTAATGTTGCTGCAATAACAAAAAGAACGACCACTTTAGTAACTAGTTAACAACTTTATTTGAGCTTTACCTAACCAATAAATTTTCTTTCTCTTTATAACAACCAGAAGCAGGTTCAGACCAAATTGAACTGATAGAATTCAGTTGCTAGCAGACACAGATTAACCACCGTTTTTTCTCTTCTTTTTTCGCCAAAAAAATGGTTCTAAACTTAAACTTAAAATTATCTTGATGAGCCTAAGAAGCGACGGCCGGGTCGAATGCAAAAATCAGAATAGAATTGTGGTATATAAAATATCTTGTCACTTATTTGCAAAATTGCAAGTGTGCAACTAACTACACTTCTCTAACACCTATGGTGAAGATTTTGCAGAATAATGATGTCCATATGATAAGTAAGAATAAGCAACTCCGTGAGAAGAAAAGAAAACTTAAAATGCTTCCACGCATACGAATTCTACGGGTAACAAGAAAGGAGTAACGAGAATAGAACCCCTGCTTTGAGAGCGAGAGCAGGCTGGTGACAGTTACCCAGTTGTCTGCATGTTGGAAAGCTAAAACCCCACAGTTACATCCTTAAAGGAACTAACGACTGCAAAATCATTATCGTAACGATTGACTGGTGAGGCAGCTGCGAGTATTTCCAAAGCACGGCCACCGGAAGCACGAAGCCCAAAGATGCAAATTTCTGCTGACAAAAATTTTGCAGCACTGCTTAAGTAGAAACATGTGAAAACCGCATCGAGCCTATACTCGGCATCAGAGCCAAGGTTGCAATAATAGATCAGAGTCACTCAGAAATCAAAAGTCCAATAGCGAAGTGATTGCTCCTGGAGAAAAGAATCATGAGAGAAATTCCTTGCGAATTGCAGCGTGCTATAAATAGTAACACTGGTATGATGGGGCCAAGTCGCAGAAACGAAACCAAGTTGGTTGATGTGATGAAAATTAGTCGTTAAAATTTCTAAAGAACTGCGTCCGCCGCCTGGGCGTGCCGCGTTAAAACTAGAAAGACGGACACATTTGACTTGACTGCCAGTCTTTCTAGTGTTAATAGTTTGCTTGCCTCCATCCATTGTGGAGGACGAAGCCACTTTAGAGCTCATCACAATGCTGACGTCATTCCTGGATTGCACAAAAATTCCGAGTCCGTGCTCGAGATATAAGAAACGGCAGCAATTGCGAATCAAGATTAGTTCGAAAACCTTGCTCACCATGACATTTTAAACCGCTTGTACGTCATTAGAATTTATTAAAATTAATTTTCTAGCAATCACTAAATTAAGTTGCATTATAGGTTATTTCATTTTTTTTTTTAACCCACATCCAACTCATAATTGCGTAGATTTCAATGTATGTTTGTACTTCATNAGGCGTGCCGCGTTAAAACTAGAAAGACGGACACATTTGACTTGACTGCCAGTCTTTCTAGTGTTAATAGTTTGCCTCCATCCATTGTGGACGACGAAGCCACTTTAGAGCTCATCACAATGCTGACGTCATTCCTGGATTGCACAAAAATTCCGAGTCCGTGCTCGAAATATAAGAAACGGCAGCAATTGCGAATCAAGATTAGTTCGAAAACCTTG